CCACATTTTAAAATATATATATATATATATATATATATATATATATATATATATATATATATATATATTGCTACATAACTATTTACAACTTGTAATAAACAGGTAAAAATATATTTTACATGACAAAATTTAATTGGAAGCTTGAAATAGGATACGATGCGTAATAAACAATAAAATTCCCACAAAAGGAACTAAATAATTACGAACATCTGCTCGAACACGTTATAATAATTTATTAAGCCGATGGGGCAAATAGAAAAGCAAGCACAAAGGTAGGGGGCGGGAGAAAGCAATTGCCACCTATATCATTAAATTCTCATGGGAGGAAAGATTATGCAGGCACATGTCCACACCTACACGACTTATCGTCTACCACCCTAGTCTTGCTGGATATCATATCTCCGATTATTTAATAATATAGAATTTTTTTTATGAAAAAGCTACTAGATGTGGATGGTAAGTTAGTGAATAAAAAAAAATTGCATACAATTTCTGAAGAGGCACACCAACCAAAACTGAGGTCGACAAAGGAAAACTTAATTTTACTTTACGTATAATGATATTGATTGATCTGAATAATTAACTTATGGTCTTAAACTAGAACGTATAATTATATTTCCAACTATAAAATTTACTTGTTTATTCATAAATATTACAATCTGTCACAATAAAGGACATTCATAACAGAGTTCAGAGAGCACATTCACAACATAACTATAAAATTAAAAAATAATTTTTATCATTCATTATAAGGTTGTTTCATGAATGAAGCAGAAAAAACATATAACAAATGAGATGGTAATAGTCCGTGGTACAGACCCATTTTTATCGAATTATTAACACCCGCCTGAAAGTTCGTAAACTGTTTCATCTCATCGTGACCTACAACTATTTTATTTACGAAAACTCTTGGAATTGGAGCGTTTTCAATCTGAAGGGGGGCAAACTTTGTCTATTAAATTAGGTACTAAAAACTCGTTAATACTCATATGCTTTCTACTTGGATCGTAAGATAATTTGATCACAAAATCGAGAAAAAAAGTCCCCTACAAAAATATTGGACCGTTTGTCTTATATAACCTTGTTATTTTGAAATTTTGAAGGTGTAGATCACGCCAAACGGCTCAATATTTTTGAAGGCCACATTTTTTCTCGGTTTTGTGATCAAATTATCTTACGATCCAAGTAGAAGCAACTGGGTATTTATGAGTTTTTAGCACTCAATTTAATAGACAAACTTTGCCGATCTCCAGATGTTAATGAAGTTTCAGCGTGATGTTAATAATTCGATAACGAGTTTTAACCTATTCCAAGTCATATTCAACTAATTAAAAGTCAATTTCAATGTTTTTTAGGGCAAATTCAACTATTCCCAAGACAATTTAATTTTTTCCAGGTCTAATTCAACTTTCTTTTAATTATTTTTTCTATTAATTAACTTTTCGAGATTTTTTGGTATGTGAGATAATAGACTGTTTTATCGAAAATAGATTGAAAGTTGAATTTGAAATTGAGAAGGTTGAATTTAGTATGGAAAAGGTTTAATTTGTCTCATAAAAAATCAAATTTAACTTGAAAAAGTTGGATTCGACGTTAAATAGTTTAATATATATATATATATATATATATATATATATATATATATATATATAATTTATTCTTGTTCAATAATTCAAAAATAATTTATTAAAATAATAGGCAATCCACCTCCGCTCCTGTTTAACTTTTTATTAGATGATTTGTTTATATTTTAAATAACCTATGATACCTTAATTGTGTTCATCAGCACACTTCCAATCAATAAATTGCTACATAAAATAATAGTATAGCTGTTGTTTTTATTAACAAGTTGAATTTAAATATTCGAAAGTCATGACAATTGCAGAGAGCTCGAATTGAAAATGCCATCTTGATTGGGTCGAGTTCGTGCCAGAGCAGTGAAGGAAGAACCGTTTTGTAATCAGCGCTTCCTGCGATCAAGTTGGCAATTGTTAGGGAATTGAAAAAGGTAGAAAATAATTCACATCGCATTCATTTTATATTAAAACCAATGTTATACCACTTCCAGTCCTAATGGATGTGAAGAATCAAAAACAAAAAATGACTAATGGCTTTTTGGTACTTAAACAAATTAGCTTGAAATATTAAGGCTAAAGAATGATGGATTGCCTGAAAACGAGGATAGTTAAGCGGCATGTTTAATTGATGTTTTAAAGTCTTGAATATTGAAATGGGCGTGTTACATTATTACGTTGAATAATGAACTAAACTGTTATAAGGTAATCAGTGCTGAGCCGGCAGGCAGGACCTTGATGGGGTGACCAAGAACCACATGTGAAAATAACTCTCCAATCCGTAGCGGAACACATTAATATGACTTGAATAATACACATTAACCCTGAAAATAAATGCCAAAGATGAAAATTGCCAAAAAATACATAATCTGTTCAGGGTCATAATGTATTGGGTTGATATACAATGAAGATGTCCGGGTGTCAGTCAATAATAACATCAAATAGTTCTGACTGTTTACTAAATGCCAATCTTTATTAAATGACACACACTCTTCATCATAGCTGAAATAATAAGGCAAGCAAACCTCAACCCAATGCCATGGCCGTGATTTGGACCGTCTCCTTGAGTTCTACCACAGATCTTAAATTACCCACTTTTTCCTTATATATTATTTCCTTATATTATTTTAGACCTTTGAAGAGGTCGACACGGTGCTATTTAATAAATTACTAGCATTATATGATGTTATTCTTGACCTACACCCAGACCATCTTTTCTATGAAAAAAAAAATCTGGTGAGATGCGCACATCACACAACTTTCTCTTGCCACCCTTGCCACTCTTCTTAGCAGAAATAATTATTTATACACAAAAGGAAAGTGATAGTAAAAATTATAAGCGCTATATTGATTTATATTTCATTGTGGATATTTTTATTTGTACAAGTACCCTTATATATATATATATACAAATTTTAATATTTATATCACTGTAATCTATTCACTGGGATCCCTGGTAAATAGAGAAAACAAAAGAAATCTAGAGATCAAGAGAAGGATAGCAGCGGCGAACAAGTGCTATTTTTGAATAAATAAGCATTCCAAAACTGAACTCATCTCTCGTAGCACAAAGACACAGTTTTATAAAATGCCCATTCATCCGGTACTGTCGTATTGTTCCGAAGCGTGGACCATGTCGCAAGCAGACGAGCGAGCCCTAAGCGTTATTTGAGCGGAAGATGCTCCGCGAACCTATGGTCCTGTGCTCAAATCAATACAAAATGATCAAATCCAAAAAAACTATAGAAAGCAATGAGCAGGGATCAAGGAGAGTAGGAAGACCACGGCTGCGATGGCAGGATTGTATGGCAAGGGATGCACGTGCACTACTTGGTGTACGTAACTGGAAAGCGGCTGCGCAGGATAGAGACCCCTGGCGGACACGTCTTGAGGAGAACAAGACTTTTCATGAGTTGCAGCGCCGTGGAAGAAGAAGAAGTAATCTACGCAATTAAATATTAAATAATAGCAACGATAGCATTTATGAAAACCCCATATGCATATTTACATAATATTGTCGGAGTCCTTATTATATTAAGCTCATGTTAAGTATGGAAGGGTTTTCTAATCTTTCGGGCGAGCTCGGGTGCGCTCGTATTTCTTTGGTTCCTCAATTAAAACTATTCTTCGTTACGATTTCTTATTTCTCCTTTAGTTAATTATCAAATTCTTTCATATTTTATATTTAACTATCTTTTATATTAGAGATGAATGTGAAATGGTCAATTGTTTCAAATTTAAAAAAATAAAGGTACTTTAGGGGAAGGTAATATTGAAAATTAGACATTTAAGCTCTGTTACAGAACATCAATCAGAATAAAACATACATTTTATTTAAAACTACTTAATATTACACTTATACAATGAATTTAATCATAATCATTGGAGCCGTTTTAGAGAAAATCGTAAAAATTTTTTAGTTCAAGATATAAAGTACCACTTCCGGTTAGCCGATTTTGAGGAAAACGATAAAGTTGCTTGTAACACCCCAAGCATATAAAAACCATAAATATGCAATTTCACTTTCTCACAATTTTTGTTTTTGAGCGAGAATGTTAACACACACTCACAGACCATTTTGCGGGACTTGCTTATTTCGACTCAGGGGAGCTCCAAACATGTATTTTCATTGAAAACTCAGATTCGAAAACTTTTACGATCCCAATACTTTCCCTTACTATATATTTCATATATAGATAAGTGAAAGTAAAAAATATATCTAGCCTCAATTCTAATGCTCAAATTTGGTAATATCGATATCAAGTCCATTAGACGAAGTTTTTGGAAACTTTAATGAGCTGTATGTTTTTTTTTAAATTAATAAAAATGTAAAAGACAATATTAAAATTAAAAATTAAAGTTTATATTCGGTTTACATCCTCATGTTTTTTACTTCAATTTATCAATTTACAAAACAAGCGACTTATCTGTTTATACTTTACTGAAACATTTGTCTGGACTAGCCGGCCAGAATAGTGTACATTCGAATGACGTAGTCTGGGGTTTCAATTTAGATGAACTTCCAAACCAGGGAAGAAGGGGAAAACAATAGAACAGCCCATGGCAAGTGAAATTGTGTAAAATCTACATTTTATCTGATTCCTCTTTCGCTTACACAGTTTAAAAGTAGAAGAGAGCAATAAAATTTCTTGTAAGGCGCCATAGACCTTGGGAAAGCGGCCTCAATGCATCTGAATCTGCTTTCATATGATGATTTAATACAAAAATTCACAAAACTGAAATAATCAGAATGTGTATGTATGTTTGAGTGAGTATCCTCATGGGTAAATGAATATGATTTTAACCCTTTCCTTCATTATACCAAATGAAAATAAATGTCTCGAACGATCTATGAAATATTTAAAAACTTCTACCAAACTAACTGAAATATTTTTTAACAATTTGTGACACTAAATAGTTTCTTACTGAAAAGGTCGATCTGAACAAACACAGAGGTAGCAAAAATTGACTGAGGTGGGAAGAGAGAAAGCTGGAGGATAAAAGCGGTCTCCTTTGCTAAACGTTGAATAACAACCGCGACACCGAATCCACCATCAATGGAAGTTTTTATCGAGGGTTTTCTCAATCCAGGTTCTCGAACCCACAACTTTTTTGCTGCCGCTTCATCAACCGCCATAGAACCCTGGCTTATCCTCGGGGTTCGGACTCCTCCCTTCTCCGTTCCCTCAGATGAGGATACCCGCCGACCTGTTGCGGCTAGTGCCGACTAATACATCCCTTTGTTCAGTAAGGCCACACAGGTGTCTACCTTGTACTAACGAGTTGTATTCAACTGTCTGCATCAACAGTAGGGGGCATCTCCGGGCTTCTGTGAGTTTGAGTAACGTCTAACTCATTCCATAGAAGTAAAATAAACTACAATAATATAAGACTTACGAACTGAAAGGATGAAGGGAAAAAGGAAAACAAGAAGGTTTTGTTTTTGCAAGGATAGAATTTTACAGCGGTGTTTAAGGGATAGGGACATTATGTTAGGTGTTTAAGGGACATCCATGAAATGGCAACAGTACTGTAAAATACTACAGTAAGTTTTAGCCATAATTAAAAAGATATATTAATCATTAATGATGGTTGTTGTATTATTTACATTTGCCATCTTCTTGAATGGGAAAACGTTAACAAGTCACAACGTGAAGTACGAAATTAGAGAAATAAATCTCAAAATTCACAGTAAAATATCTTTATAACATGTACAGTATTTTTAACTATAAGTATTTTAAATACTAAATTATTTAAACTTCTAATGTTCCTTAAACGGATAATTTCCAATACAATAAAGAACACAGCAACCATTATTTTCGTACTGAAAAAATAATAAAGCCAATAAATTAATCATTAAAGTTTCAAAATATCGGTTTATTAAAGTAAACATATACTTTTAACAAAAACTATATTTTGGAAACGCTTGGAGTTTTTCTTTTTCTTTTATTCATACCAATAATGACAACCAGGTTTATGAAAAACGTTTCAGAAAATAATGTATACATTAGTATTACACACTAAAGTTACAAATAATACTAAATTAATTTTAAAGTAACCAAGTGACTTAAATGTCCTTGTACTTGTATAATAGTTGAAAACTGATGTCCGCTACATTCACCCTCAAAGAAACGGCGAACTAGACTGATAATATAATATTTAACTAAGACTGAATAAAAAAAGAGGGAAGGATGACAGTAATGGAATTTATTTAGTGTCCCCCACACCTTTTTGTTATTTTTTTTATGATTGGTTTTACAGTTTCGTCCGGTGTGCAATTTATATCTACTTGTACAGTGTATATTATATTATTTCAGATTCCTTAGTGTTCAACAATTAATATTAATAATTATTTCCTCGCGCGGATCTCATTACCGCATCGGGGAGAGTGGGGTGACGAATGCAGGAATGGTCGGTGGAAATTCCTTGGAAGTTCCACCCGGCTAAGTCCGATGGATTCGCTGACCAGCAATGAGAGCAGTCCTCAAGGCGTACTGAAGGTTATGACGTAGGATTTATCTTCAGTTCAGTATGAACCACAAATACTCATGGATCTTTCTAGGTAAAACGCTCATTATCCGGAGGTAAACTAGTCCCCTTCTTTGGTTCTCCGAGTAGGGACTGCTTTAGGGGATTCATGGCGCAAGTTGAAAATTGGGGATTTGGTGTCAACATCATATCTTCGAGTGCGCTTAATCTTTCATAATTTTAGTGTTCAGTATTGTATTGTTTAATATTAGCATTGTAATATTAAATATACATTCCTTATATGTACGGGTGAGCAATATAATTCAGTTCTAATTACGATCATAGACAACAATAGAGTTTACAATTTTGAAATTACTTATACTCAATTACATATTTTTCCTACACTAAAAACGAGAACCAACTTCTTCCAAGAAAACTCATTTTAGCAAACTAATGATCAGAGTACTTTTACTTCTCAATTACCTACGGTAGGGAATGGTTTTAGTAATAGGTCAAAATAAGCTTTTTGGATTACCTAGATCACAGAAAGTTTTCAAAAATAAATAGTCCTGTCGGTATAATTTTATTTAAAAACGCAGTGACAAGAGAACTTGAGCGGGAATCGAAGTACACTCCACACTTGAATAAATCAAAACTAAAATTTAAATTTTTGTTGGGTCTGAAATTAGCAAAATGAACTGTCTTAACATTTATTTTTTGGAACGAATCGTATTATTATCTACTTTTGGCAAACTTGTCAGAAAACAATTTCAAAATCATATTAATTTACTGGTACTCAAAACAGAATGATGGAAGTGAAATCACAATGTTAGAAGATGCACGTTTTCATGAGTAGACGAATTTTCGGAGAAACATTTGTTTAGGTTTATGAATTCTTGGAGGGAATTTAATATTCGTGGGATTTAAATTTGGAGGTACACACTAGTTAACGAGGGAAAAATATAAACTACAATTTTTATCATTCTTCTTTTATTTGCTCAATTTAAAAAAGAGGATAGCGGTAACATTTCTTGTAAAGAAGGAAAGACATACACCAACAAAATGCTCCAAAGGAGTGAGGCACCTCTGTTTTAAATTATTGATGGTTAATAATTCGTATTTATGGTTATTTTATCAAATGACCTAAAACTATTGTTAATATATCACTAACATTGTATTAATTTTAATTAAATATATTTTTCATAAAATACAAAATGGTAATTTTTTTTCAATATTAATAGGCAGTAATCACTTGAGAACATTAGTTAATAATTTTATAAATATCATGAATTACCAAGATTTTAAAATATAATCCTTCAAATCAAATATACTAAGGTTTAAATAAAACTTCATCACTATTCAACCAAAAAAATTGGATGAACGTATTTCGAAGTTTTTTAAAGTAAAAAGTCATATCTTATTAAAAAATAAATAGAAAAATAATGATGTTTTAAGTGATTTCATTAGTGCTTTATTGTTTTTTTTTTCTTATTCCCGAACTCTATTTTCCCATTTAGATATATATTTATCTTTAGATAATAATAGAAAAAAATGAATGATGCGAAAAAATATAAAAGAGAATATTCCGTGCTAGAATAAGAACTAAAATAGATTCAGTGCTGTAATTATTATTTCAAGGTTTTCTTACTGTTTACTGACATAATAACTATTCTTGGCCTAAACAATACTGAATTCAGTAGAATAAATTCAAGGATAAATTGATCAAAACGCTCAATACAAATTTGATACAAATAACAAAAAATGTATTAAGTAGTTAAGTAGTATATTTAATCTCTATACAAATATGTAAATAAAAAAATCACTAACATTTATGTTTTATTTAAAAATAAAAGTATTTTTAAAAGATCAATTATTTATGTAATGTTTCAATATACTTTCTTATGAATAAAATTTCAAATGACTTACCTATTTAAAAATGAAAAAATCCACAAATTCTCTTTATTACCACTTAAATCACAGATGAAACAAACTCTCACTATAACATAATTTGTTAGTGCTATTTTTTTTTTAAACTTCGGAATTACGTATCGAAATGGAAAACGATCGACCAGCAGCCACCCGTCCGAGAACTACCGCCGGAATGAAACCGCTCTTCCTAGTCTGGTAACTGTGGCGCACTCTACTAACAAGCAAAGCTACCACTATAGTGAATTCTCCGTATCACAAACCCCAAAAAACAGATTTAAAAAAATTCTTTATTTCCAATTCTTATTCGTAATTAGTTTAAAAAATAATGAAAACAAAGAAAGTGGATTTTAGGACTGCAAAAGTGGAATAAAAAAAAGAGTCTCAACATTAATTTTTACATCTTCATATGTAGTCTTAGTACAGTACTTTTTGCTGGTGAAATTTCTATCTTAATAATCCTGTCCTTTTTTAAATGTGAATTTTCAAAAACGCTCAAAAGTCATTTTCGGCCAAAAGCTACCCTAGAATTTGTGTGATGATAAACTAAAATTCAATTCAGTTCCTAAATTCATTCTGATCAAAATAGTTTGAGCCGTTTTTGTGAAAATTGTAAAAATGTGTTTTAGCGTTGATATAAAGTGGCACTTCCGGTTGGCCAATTTTAAGAAAAATACAATTACTATATATTACATACACAAGTAAGTGAAAGTAAAAATGATCGCCAAGAAAAAAACCTAGAGTCTTAAATTTTTAAAATATTGTTTTGAACTCTAAAATAAATAAGGAATAACTGATAAAAAAATTATAAAAATCAAAAATGTCGAGTAACAAAATTAATTCAAATTGGGTGATTTCAAATGGATTTAGCCTTTTATTATCTACATTAAAGGTATCAAATTGACGAAGTAGTTCCTCCTTTGGGATTCCTTGGTTCTTTTTACTTTCACTTACCTATATATGTAATTTATAGTAAGGGTAAGTATTGCGATCGTGAAAATTTTCGAGTCTGAGTTTTCAACGGAAATACAGGTTTTGAGGTACCCTGACTCAAAATAACCAAGTCCCGAAAAATGGTCTGTTTGCCTGTGTATATGAACACTAGCTCAAAAACGAAATGTCGTACGAAACTGATATTAGGTATTTAAGTTAGGTAAATGCCTTGGATGTCGCAGCAGCATTTTTCTTAAAATCGGCTGACCAGAAGTGCCACTTTATATCAACGCTGAAACAAATTTTTACCATTTTCTCAAAAATGGCTCAAACGATTTTGATTAAACTCGTTGTATCATTGCATAATTAAGTGGTCTTTAATATCATTTAGGTCTTATCTCTGTTGATCTCACTTTACAGGGCTTAAATACCCTATGTTCATATGCGTCTGCCCCCTAATGTACCTTTAATATAGTTCATTTCAAATAATTAAAAGTTACAAAAAAAATGCTAAATATAACTTCTAAAGAATTTGATAATTGAATAAAGAAGAATTATGAACAATAATCTTTTTAAACTAATAATATTTACCGTAAATCACATGTTTTCAAGGAAATTGAATAAAATTTACAAACTAAATGTAAGTATTAAAAAATATTTTTAAGTTTGTAAACAGTATTTAAAATGGCATTGTTAAAAAAACTATTTCATTATAATGAAGAGAAGAATAGTTGGGGTGGTCAGTCAAAAACGAATGCAAAAATAAATGATAATATTTATTTTTACATATGCCGACGTTTCGACCTGAAG